GTTCCACAACTGATCAAAGTTAGTGAATTTCCATTCAAAACTAGAAGACATATTTGGCGGAAAAAACTGGGATAAATTTCTTAACAACTATGCACCTAGGTATTTTAAGCATGTAAATATACACTAAGGATTATTTTCCTAAAAACGCGAGTTAACAAACCATTAAGAATAGGTTAGATTTAGGCTAACTTTTGGTTTAGTTTAGAACTTCTAATCAGAACACCTTCATAACTGTATGCTGGTTATGGACCATTAGGTTTATCATGCTGATTGCAAAATACGAATCTTATAGTCTCGAAATAGGATAAGGCAACTGTTCAGTGTTCCCTTGTTTTTAACTGCACGTCAGGTGATAACAGTTCTAAGGGAACATTATCCTTAATATAAGCAATGATAATATCACAATAACTGCTAATTCTAGATCGATTATCATACTATTATACTACTACTTTTTATGATTCTTTGTGGAATAAACATTCTACATTGCTCTAACCATAAATTGATTTGGCCGGTTTAATTTTCTTCTTATATGTAAATAAATACAGTTTAAAAGGGAGTAAAAACGAAGATGGATGCAGAATAACTTGTGCTTTCTTCAGGTGCTTACAGTCTATAGTATTTAAAAACGAAACTATCATAGAAATTTATATACGTTGTAGTATGTGTACATTCATGTCGAGCATACAGGGCTTGTCTCAGCGTTTGAACGATTTATTGTATCCATTTTTTCGTGTCATCATTCACAGGCTGTTTGAAACTTCGCCTGGAGCACTTCTGGGGTTACTGCCAGTCCTAAGAATAGATAACGAAGGAGGGTTCAGCATGGGGTTACCGACCCCATTCCAAAGAAAACTTAATCGCTAAACACAACGCTAACCAGAAAAATCGGTTCAGACAATTTTAACTCTGCCCTGAGAGATTGTAGGTCTTCATTCAGGAGAGTTATGTCGTCTCATGATGAAAGCCGGGTTCCTTCGGATGTCACGAGGCCGATTATCCTTCTGAAAACCAGAGCAGTCATTCGTTTAGATACATGGGATTTTCGAACATTATGGGAGACCGGAAAACTATTCCGAATTGCGGCAGAAATGAAAAGACACAACCTGGAGCTGCTTGGAATCAGTGAAACACATTACACGCAGGTTGGATAACTAGGACTAACTTCAGGAGAGCTACTCTTATACTCCGGCCATGAACAACAAAATAATCCACATACACAACCAGTTGCAGTGATGTCGTCCAAACAACCACAAAAGGTACTCATAGGATGGGAATCTCAGGGATCCAGGATCATCAAAGCATCCTTCGAAACAAAGAAACAGGTAGTTACAATGAACGTTATCCAAGGCTACGCGCACCTACCAACGATCACAATTAAGACCTTAAAGAACAATTTTACCAGAGGCTGCAGTCAATAGTAGAGAAACGCCCAACAAAGGACTTGGCCATTTGGATGCGAGACCTAAATGCCAAGGTTGACTTGGACAACGCTGGATATGAAGACATCAATGGACGACATGGACTAGGAGAAAGGAACGAAAACGGTGAGAGATTCGCAAACCCAAGTGCCTTCAAAAAACTGGTCATCTGTGACACAATATTCCCACAAAAACACATACACATAACCTACATTAGTATCACCGGATCACACTACAAATAACCAAACCGGTCACATCTGCATCAATAAAATGGGTGATGTAGGACGTGAGAAACAAGAGGGAAGCCGACATGGCTTCGGATCACCGCTTGGTAGTGGCCAAAATGAAACTGAACGGAAGAAGCACTGTACAATGCGCGGAGAACATCACAGAAGTTTAACACGGCCTTTCTTCGGGATACTGGCAAACTCAACCAATTCAGGATAGCCTTCAGCAACAAGTTCCAGGTCTTGCACGATCTAATCAATGGAGAGAAAGCAGGTGGGTGTAGCATTTTAAGGAACTCTTGAATAGATCTGCCTCACTGAACCCCCAACACGAACCAGCACCTTCGGACCTCCCAATTAATATTGACCAACCAACCACTGAATGGACCTCAGTGGACAGTCAATACCACACGGAATTCTGATGATGGATGACATTGAATAAGCGCGCATGACTAAAAGCTAATAAACTCATTACATGTGAAGACTGGCGTTGGACAAAACTCCCTATCCTCACTTATTCTCTTTCTTAAAGTGCTTGACCAGACAATGAAGACCTAAACTCGTCTCGGGAAGGAAAGAATACAGTGGACAGCTTGGACCTCACAGATAACGTAGCTCTTCTACCACATACGAACGAGTGCAAGTAAAGACAGTCAGTGTAGCAGCAGCCTCCTGTACAGCAGTTGGTCTCCATATAAACAACGGTAAAAGCGAATACCTCAGAAACAACCTAACGTGCACCAACCAAATCATACTTGAAGGAGAATCTTTTGAGGACGTAGATGCCTTCATATACCTGAGCTGCACTTTGATAAACAAGGTGGATCTGATGCAGATGTAAAGGTGCGGACTGGCAAGACAAGGGTAACATTTCTACGATGGAAGAGCGTGTGTAAGTGAAAACAACTATCAACCAACATCAAAGTCAGAATTTTCAATACAAATAAAAAGACAGTTCTACTGTATGGGGTGGAAACTTGTATAACCACGAAAGCCTTAGTCTATAAGATACAAGCATTTATTAATAGTTGTCCACGCATATTAGTGAGGGTCAGCTAACCAAAAGCCATAAGCAAAAACCTGATGTATGAGGAAACCAACCAAACTAAGCGTGGAAATTAGGAAGAAGTACTGTAGGTCGATAGGACATATATTAAGGAAAGTATCTTATTGCGTCACAAGACTAGCCGTCATTTTGAATCCTCAGGCTTAAAGGAAAGGAAGAAGACCAAAGAACACGTTACTCCGAAAAATGGATACGACGCGAAACGAATGAACTACAATAGGATAGAACTGGAAAGAAAAGCTCAGGTCAAAGTAGGTTGGCATACGCTGATCTGTGGCGTATGCTCCACTTTGAGTAACAGATATAAGTAAGGTAGTTGTTTTTACTTGAGTGTGTCTGCCATTTATTTCTCGTGCTTCATTCCTAACTTATTTTGTCTGACTATAAATGCTTAGTCATACCTCATTACATTTAGTTGGATCACTAACCTTATCAACTTCGCTTCGCTCTGCATGCCTGTCTGCATGGACGATTGCCTGAAATACACTCATCCAATCCGTATTTGACTTCTAATTACCGCTGTCGCATAAGTATGATATACGGAAACTGAACGTGACATTTAATTCACGTATATTCAACTATTCGTAAATATAGGTGTCAAGATCGTGGGCCACTGAAGTAGTGAGCACTACTTCGAATGAATGCAGCCCCAACTTATAAATATGAAGGCGATTAAAGATGAATATAGTTTTATATTACAGTTAAGTCTGGTGAGGATCTAAATGAAAATAAGAACATTTTTGATAAGTCAGAGTAAATGCACTAATGCAAAAGTCAGTTAAGTAAAATCTTTTCCAATCTCAAATTAATTAGCATAGTATCTACTCTAATAATAAAATTTGGTATTAGTGAAGCTACGACATAAACAAATTCACTTTAATTCAAAGTAAAAAGATAATCTCCCATTTGACCAGTCACAAGATTTGAAATTAAAAAATGGTGTCATTGTTTAATAGCTGTACTACATATGTCCATCATAATGTGAAAATGTTTTGTTAATTTTATGATGAAAACTGGTACCATAAAAATACTGGTGATAAAAATAACAGGAGTCTAAATTTTAGTGACACGAAAAGTTCATGTCTAAGTAACTAGGTACTAAAGGTGAGATCAATAATAATCCAATAAATTTCTTCTTTCCTTATATGGACTTGAACAGACCACATAGTTCCAGGAACATGAATAACATTGAAGTTATATCGAATAACAATCAACAATACTAAAATACTAGTTATTAGTGAGTTATGAAATAACTTATGATTTGATAAGTAGAATATTAGTAATTAATATAGTTTGAATGTTGCATTTTTATTTGCTTCATTTCTTACAACGTGTTCATAGATAATCGGAAGTTGAGTGTCTGATTACATGTAGTAATATTTTTCAAAACTGATTCGGAAAAACGATCATAACAATTCAAGTTATCAGTAATTTTATTTCAGAAGAAAATAATTCCTAGCATTTCACATTTTGTTTTAGTGTAGCTAATTCAGTTTTAAGTCACTCATATGGCGCATAAAATCTTCATAATGACTGAGTTATTACTGGTCAAATGTATCTGATCATTTTGAGTTGGTAGTCATTGATAAAAAATGGATTTCTGTTAAAACTCCATCTAAAAAAGTCATATTCATGAACCATATCATTTTTTAAAATTACCAGTGATAATATTGAGTTTTTTGTCATACACATGGTCTGAAAGTGATCATTTTCACTTTGTGTGCTTGTGGTTTTGTGATCCGTTTGTGGTGCTATTATAAAAGTAATCGACGCTTCGTATTTGTCTTCTGCTTTGTACACCGTTAGGCGTTATCTGGTCACGGTAGTCAGGATGGGCAGTATTCAAAGTTTTAGAATATATCGAATACCGACGGCCACACAACTGGTGAGCCCACATCCACCACATCACTTTTAGCTGATATTATCTACATTGAACCAGGGATGATTAATGTCCTGAGTGACCTTCTAGGATTACTGACGGTCTCCAGCCCCGATAAATGAGGGGAGTTGGGCATGGGATTAGCAACCCTATTCAGCAAACAAACAAACCAGTAGAAATTATTTAAACCATTTGAAAGGATGTCACTTAAGCAGCGGGAAATTTCCACACTGGTTTATTGGTTAACCAGTTGAAATGACAGGTTTTTTGTGGCAGTTTAGCTAAGATCGGCTTGGGGTTTCAACGGTTATATCTCTTAAGTTAACCTGTATGATTTTTATGTCTGTGTTCTACTTCCAGTTCAATTATACCAATAATCGATCAACACTAATTATAAAGTTCATACCTACCTGGTACAATATCGCCGAATCCAATTGTTGATAATGTTACAAAGCAAAAATAAGACCATTTCAAATAATCCGTTGATTCCCATAAACAAAATACGGCAGCGCCTAATAAAATATAAACCGTCATCATAAGTATAGTTAGTGATATTGGAACAGTCTTTAATGTTTCACTTGATGATTTATTTGATTCGTTTGTTGCAGAATGAGCTGTATCTAAATCACTTTTATGTTGAAATTGTTTTAGCTGACGATTTATATTTATCGTATTCATTGATGAAGGTAATTCAAGGTGATTCGGAGTATGCATTGATTCTTTGAATGATTGATCATTGACTGAATGTGTGGTATTTGAGTAATAATTTGATAAGTCAAAACTTTCAAATGGTGTATGTTGTTGTAAATATGGATTTAATGCATATATATCATGTAAGTCAAATATTTGAGTTGAATAGTTTTTTGTATTTATCTGAGGCGTTGTTGATACTACAGTCTCCATTAAATAGTCTGCTTTACATGACGACAATCTAGATGAAGAAGTTTGTGATTGTTTATCACTCCATGTTATATTTGATCGTTCAATATTTTTAAAATTCAAATCGTCACTTGGATTGTAATTAGAAATCATATGTAAGTGATGATTATTGTTAATACTACCAATCCTGTTAGTATTCAAGTAATTGTGAACATTGCTGGTTGGTGTTCGTTTGTATCTTTTATATTTTACTGGATTTGATGATGTAAATGTTGAATTATTTCTTTCACAGACTAAAATATCATTATTCTGTGATAGTTGTAATTTTTGAGTAATTTTTCGATGAGTCAACTGATTGAAACACTTTTTCATACATTTTTTAAACTGTATAAATGCCGGTTGACAAATGCGCACATAGAAAACTTGAAATAATGATGCCATATAATTACCACTGTTTGATAGATAACAAAAAAATAATGGTATACCAAATACAGCATACATCATTGTAAGAAATTTACCTAGGCGTGTATGTGGTGTTACATGCCCGTAGCCTAAAAATAAGATTTGAAAGACAAAGCAATGTAGTTGCGAGAAATTATAAAATAAAGATAATTAGTTAGTAATGGTAGATTGAATGTCCCATCAGTTGATTAGTGTCATTTGGCATACATGAATTCTATACGACCCTCCTCGATATGGCCATTAGGTCACAAGCAATATAAGCAGGAATGAATAGCTGATGGCGATGGGATCCAGGACTCACGTTTCGACCTACTTGAGGCTCGTCAGCTCGAGTGAGTATCAACTCTGGGACACAGGTACATACAGCAAAGATGAGTCCCAAATAGGACGAAACACACGTCTGGAATTCCTGTGCTGGCTTCTATCTATCTCTGCTAATAAAGATTATCGTTTCTGTTTCCGGATGGTCTAATTATGATGAAACCACTCACAGAATGAAGCTCAACGAAAATCATCGACATCAGCCGCAAATATTTCTGTTGATGGTTATCTATCGATTAAGCTGAAAACCATTTAAGATATTATGAGAATTTTGTATAGTATGTAAGTTTTAATCGGTCAATTTTCAAACAATGGCTTATCGCTTGCTTCATGAACTTAAGACTTTTAAATAGAAAGAGAATGCGATCCAATGTGTATCACATAATACAATTGTTCGTGGCTTGTGATATATCCACGCAAGCGAAGACGAGAAATCTGAATGCTAATAAAAATGAGATCTTCATTATATTGAAGTGTCAGAAAAGGTAATAAGTATGAAAACAGGTTCGATGTGTTGATGGAAAAAGTGTTTCACTGTTTGACAAAAAATTATATTCAGAATCTTATTTTCTTCCTTCCTCGAAGTGTTTGGAAGATTTTACACATTATACACCAGTGATCTTAAAGGTAACACATGATTTAGTAATCAATTCAGTGAAGAAAAATTCCTTTCGAACTACTTCTTCATTATGGCTCTACACTGATAATCATACGATATCAGTCAGTTGGTAGTGTTACATAACAATATTACAATGTCATGAAGGATTAGAAATATTATATCAAATCAATAGCTATGCAGTTACAAGTAGATAGATATTATTAATCAAACTAGTTATTTATTAAATGATCGTGATATGAAATTCAATAAGTGAAAGACAGTATGTTTAGTAAGAGAAAATAATCAAACATTTTGAGTAAAATATTGACTATAACTAGGTAAGTTTAACTAGCAAAAGTATAGATAAACTAGGAATAAATATTTTGTTTTAAAACAAACTGGCTTGGCTCATGTTGATGATCAGAGCGGAAAGAACTGTGGAATAAATTTACTTTGAGTGCAAAGATTCCGATCATTTCGGCAGCATAGAAAAAAAAATAGAATTCACAAACTGTGCAGTATATTTGATGGAGTAAGGTGGATTATTTGAAAAGTTCAGTTCAAGTCTTCTTGGTTTTCTTATGTTAATCAAGTGAGCAGGAACTGAGTTCCTAAATATATTACACTGTAATTCGCTCAACCAACCTAAATGTAATGCTTGGAGGAGATAAGACACAAAAAATGATTTGTGATAATAATAAAGGAAATTTGTATCTTGAAAGTAAATAATGTTTGTTAGATGTTTTGCCAGAATAGATATTTTATGACCGATTTTGTATTAAGTTAAGGTATTTCATCGGGCACTGTTTTCATATTAGGAAGAGTAAAGTAAAAATGGACTGATAACGGTAGTGGTATTATTAGTAGTACGTGCATTTGTTAAAGCAAATACATGTAACCAAAAAGCACACTATAACAAATAGTTTCCGTTCAAAAGAGGTCTCTGAAAAAACTTTCCACTAGCTAAAATATGAAAAATAAGCTCGTTAAAAAGTAAGAACACATTTTCTGAGAGTTTATGAATAACTTTTGAACAGAGCTTTCCAACCAAATATTTACCTATTGGGGCAATTAAAAAATGTAATGTATAACTTACTGTAAGCAGTTGGTAAGTACTTTAATACTATCATGTCATGGCGAGGATACCAGAAATAAAGGTTACTCATGAACAGTGATGAATATTGTAATTTTCATCTGTACCAACTAACTCTAAAAGATTTCCATTAAGCGATACTACTTTGAATAGAATGTTGCATTGATTAAATTTGATTTGATGTACACTAAATAAGCATGAGATAAAGTAGTTACTCACTTATTTGAGTGTGCTTGAGATGTCTACAATTGATTTATACAAAGGAAAGCTGAGACAAGTTCCAAATATTCAGTTAGATGTAGTTGTAATTTAGTAAAGTTGGGAATATGATCATCATTCTTCAAAATCTATGATGATGTTTTGAACTGTTTGTTTTCTTTTACACCGTATATAAAATCGGTGTTTTATTACATCCCAAAAATAATAAATTTCGTAAACGCTGGTATAATACTATTTTACAGTGCTATTATAATTAACACATAACTATTCCTTCATTTCAATACAATCATCAAATAATTCTTAGTCAATTTTCCATGGGTCAACTGTTCTAATGTAATTTTATAATCAACTGATAAGCACTTATTTAACCTTAATATCTATCTTTTAAGCGATCGAGTGTGCGGTGACAAGAATAAGAGCAGTTTTAGTTTTTTGTAAGCGATTAGTTGTGAGATAATTTTTTACATTAAGGGGATGTGAAGAGTGTTAAGTTATACATTTTTGAAACCATGAATTGATCGATGTTAGACCACCATTCGAAACCTGGAAACACTGGACGAAGTTAATGTCTAACTTGATCAATTCACGTTAGTGGTCCAGAGGTTAGGCGTTCGCGCACAATGCCGAAGGTCCCGGGTCCGAATCCTGCGGGTTACAGGAGCCGTGGATATGCACTGCTGATTAGTCTCATACCAGGACGAAACGGCCGTTCAGTGCTTCCAGGTTTCTAATGGTGGTCGAACATTGATCGATTCATGGTTTCAAAAAAGATAATTTTTTAAAATATTTTAAAGTTTACTAATATTTGCTTTGAAAACATTAACTGAACATCACTGAGTAGTATCATTGCAGACTTGATCTACTGCACATATTTCGTTCACTTTGATAGTGTTTAGTTAAGTGAGCCTGAACACACTGATTGTCATTATTGGCAGTGAAATTTGAAAATGAAAATAGAACACTATGAAATGAGGAATGAACTGTCCAAGAAATAATTAAATTCATGTATACAGCAAATAGATGATGGTATATCAGAATTCTTGTAGTCTGATTTGAAATGTTAAGAGAGTCTTTAATTTATGTGTTAGTATGCTGTTCAAAAATGAGTTCTTTCTTGTGCTACAATTTAGTCAGAAAAAGTTTTAAAAGAACTAAATATGTTTGCAAAAAAATACACTTTAATTAAATCCTCAAGTTTTAAAGCAAAACGTTCTTATTAATAATTAGTTCACAACACTAATGGATCATAGACTAGTAATCGCTGTTAGGTTCTCTAATGCTTAAAATCGATCACATAATATTTCATGTAAAGATGCCAAGTGAATCGATATTTTGATGTACTTGGTTTTTTAGGTATTAAAAAGTTAATAGAAATGATTGGTAGTCAAGGTGCTTTAGATTTAGAATATTATCATTCATGTGATATTTTAGAACATTGAGTAAAAACATCGTTACGTTTTAAAAGAAATTTCTCAAGTTTATATGAAACTTAATTTTTCTTTCTTCTTTTTCTTAACTAAAACAAAAGATGAAAATTAACTATTCATGATCTAAATTATCTTTGTTTGAAAGATGTGACTAGTTAATACAGAAGAATTTAAGTTACAAGTTGCATTCACATCAGTCACGCTTGAGTTGCTAACCAGTTAATCTATTCAGTATATCTTAAAAATTCTGTTAAGCCAGAATGAACTGATAAATGTTGCACTGAATTTACTGAACACTCATCAATAAAAGATTTTAATAAAATCAACGTTTCTAAAAGACGATAGATTGAAAGAATTTAAAGAATATCTAGCTAACAGCTTATAGTTATGTTGACTTACATTTTCACTATCTAGTCAAAAAGAAACTAATGCTATCATCGACTAATAAGGAGTTGATTTCAAAAGCTTGGATATTGAATAGTTTAATTAAACAATAAAACTTTAACTCTTTACAATGGTGCTTTATCACTTCTCAATACTAAACTGTTTTTAAGACGGTGAAATTTGTACTGAAAATGAATAAAACATTGTTTTAATTAGCATTTATTAATTTGTTCAATATTATACAAATTTTCTTATGTTTTTAGTTAATATTATTACAGTTAAATCTGTTCTAAGAAATAACAGAAGTAATATATCATTCTAAATTTAGATGAATAAGAATTTCACTGCAAACAAACTGATAAATTTTCTTTCGCAAATCTTAGATATAGTTTTTTTTACTCCTCTTCCTCCTCCTCCTCCACAACCACAGTGTCTAACTTAATTTAATAATGATAAATAAAGCATAAAACTTAAGTGATAGATAGGAAAATAAAAATAATATTATGAATTTGAATGCATAAGAGAATGCAAAACCTACACTATACGATTAGACAGAAACCGTTGAACGTGTTACAAAAATACTCTTTTTATTTAGTTTTATTTTTTAAAAGTACGCTTCTCACAGTGTTATGATATGTCAGGTGTATTATGCTTTGACGTAAAATTCACCCTCAGAAATGAAATGAATAGTCTGAGAAAATGTTTGTAAAGTGTATGAAGGTTTTTAGTGATAAAAAGCAATTGAATATGACGCAAATGGATAAATGTTTTGTTCAAGAGAATAGTGTTAAACCTACACGAATTTATTTATAATTGTCGAAATAAAAATTCAATTTATTGAAGAATTGTTCGAACGTAGAAAATGCTAGTTAATGAAATTTTCCTAGATCATGAATCCATCGATCTCAGTTCGAAATAAAGAAACACGTGAACTATTGGTATAGCAAAATGTACTCAACAAAACGTTTGTCATGTTAATTAGTATGTGAGATTTTATACCGTCAACATTATACTTTCTAATTTTACTATTTACTATGGGGATATTAT